TATGTGTGTGTGTGTGTGTGTGTGTGTGTGTGTGTGTGTGTACCTACCTACCTTACCATTTACTATTACTTACTAAAATTTCTACTACCCAGAAGCGAGTTGTGAACCTGACATTGTGCGTGTGTGTGTAGAAGATCTCCTGGGGGCATGCAAACTCCCTGTTTTAATTTCCTGTGGCACAAATTAGATCTATCTTTCTAGTGAGAATGACGTCAGACGTCTCTGCACCAGTGATTCATTTAACCGCCTGGTTGAGTGCACAGAGATGAAAACGCTGCTTTTTCCATTTTGAAACGGTGATTTTTGAAGTGTATTTTTTTTTTATACATTTAATTAGTGATGAGGTGGTACATTTTAAACCAGAATGGCTGCTGCTCTTCACGTTATGAAGATCATGGCCTTCTATTGTTAGCTTTCAGAAGTCAGGAATATGTCATTTCTATAAATACTAGGGAAAAAAAAACATTTTTTTTATGTGACGGGTGGATGTATAATTGCTGACGAATCTTGTCAAGCATCAAAAAACAACAAATTCTGAATGTTATATGAGAGTATAACTTCTGAACATTTGAAAAAGACTGAAATTACATCTATTAGTTTGAGGTGGTGGTGGTTTGAGTGTGTTGAGTATTGTTTTTATCTTTTTTTTTTTAAACTAGCTATATCAATCAGTTAATTCATTTTAATTGTAACCCTGTAAAACCTGTCATATTTAACAGTAGTCAAAAAACTTTATATGGACAAAAAGACAACAAAGACAACTTCTTTCCCAATAATGTCTAAGATGTTATTTATATGCTTAGTTTAATGATCAAATATCTGTAGTTTTTGTTGTGGGGGCAAAACATAAAATACAATGATGGAGAGGTGTACAAATAAACATTCCTCAAAACCCTAATACATCATATTTCATACTCACATTTTAACATTTAAAAAAAAGCATGTATGGATAATCAAGCAAACCTAAGTTCAAGTGTTCATCTTTAAATTTTGCTAACAATATACAAAGTTATTCTTACATTTGCTTTATTTAAAAAAAATAAAAAAAAAAGATAAACTATCATAATCCTTTCCAGTCACTGCCTTGACTCAGCCCACTATGAGATGTCACTAATCAAGTGCAGTAATTAGACTAATCAGACTCGCTAGTGGCCAGCAGGCACAGAGTGAACTGTATTTTGTAATAACATGTACTCTGTGATTTCTAATGTCTCACATGTGGTTAATCAAATTCAGCGATGACTAGCAGTGATAGAGTTAATTGTGCTTGTAACGATCCTCGTCTCCATCATATAACCATGTAGGCGATTTGGGGAGGTGGCGTTACTAGGGAAAATTTGAGTATTTAGTATTTATTTTTTCCGAGATCTCAGTTTGTTTATTTTTCTTTGCATTAGATTATCATTAATGAGCTTGTGCTTAGATCGCTTGATTCTAGCTCTATGCACCTAATTAGGATTTCCATAAATTTAAATGTATTATCTTTTAATGTGTAGACGATGGCAGGGTCATTACAGAAATAATTACAGCCTAAACTCCGCACCCAGGGGTCTGTTGTATTTAAAATACACAATTCAGTCAGGATGAGCTGAAAGATCTATGAGACCAACTGGGTGTTGGGGTGAGCTCACAATTACATAGTTGTTTTCTTGAGAGGAGATTCAGTACTTAATAGATTTAAAGTTGGTGCAGTTTGTTTTGTATCATATTCTTTTGTTGCTGTGAGAATTTTAAGCCAGAAAGATAGGGGACCAAAAGGAGTAGCGTTAGTTCATCAGTCTCTTTTTATCGACTTTACTGATCCTAACCCAGTGTTAATTAAATCAGGGCGATGTCAACTTATCAACAACTCTCACTTACCCCACATAGCTCTTAACCAGTAAACACAAAATCTATACATTCACTCGTTTTATTCATCTGGCTGGTCCTCGAGGAATTCAGACGAACGCTTTGTACTTATTTGATATCGAATGCATTTGTGTGAAACTTTTTCAGCGCGTCTGAATTCTGAGGTAAGTATCAAAAGCACGAATCAATGCCCGCAACTGTGGAAACTGATTTTTTTTTCTCGTTTTGTTTTACTTTTGCACATGCTGGCACAGTGATGGCTCGGATTCAGCTGTAGATGTTTAGAGAAAGGATTTATCATCTTGTGAATGAGGAAAAACACTTCAGATGGATGTTGTTTGTGCTGATTGCTATTGTTTTGAATGATTTGCAAGACCGTGCCACTGATTTGCTGGATGTAATACAGCTTAGCAAAAAAAAGGAACACATCACTGATGTTCACTTTTATCCCAAAACAGCATGAAAATGCCATCCAGTTTGCCTTTTTAACAGAGAAAAGTACTAAAGACTGTACTGCAGCCTTAATGTTTAAATATGCATTACAATGTGCCCTTGTGAGGAAGCGTGTTTGAATATTCATGCATATTGTTAAATCGGTTTAGAAGTAAAAAAAAAAAAAAAATGGTTTAAGAAACAGATTGTTCAATGCGGCTCCATACGTGTCGGTTTTCAACATGGTTGTGAGATGCATCCATCTGTGAAGGTGAAGGAGGGCCAGGCTACAGGCTTCTCGAGATTTTTAAAAAAATTTCTGCGCTCTCAGTTTGCTAGCCATGCCAGTTTGCCTGCGGTCTGGCTAGTCACAGTCACTCTGTGCCATAGATAACAGTTTTCCTGGGCAAAGCAAAGAGATCATCTAAGCGGCCATAGCATTTGAATGCCGCCAGATGGTCACCTATAAAGGGTGTGAAAAAGCATATACACAGATAGATTGCTATTCTTGAGGCTAACTGAATTTTGCAGTAACAAGAACACATTGCCGCATTGCAAATGTTCCGCTAGTATTAAAAATTACCGAGATGGATTTAACTGCAGTCAACTGAATCTATAAATATTGCAACCTAGGGCAAATCTACAACAGTCAGTCTACTTGTTCAACCCTGACCCTGTTTGAAGACCTCATTTTCTGGCTTTTAGTGCATGGTTTTTAACTGTGAGGACATCTATATGCTAGTGTACTCATAAACGTAGATGGATGCTTTTAAAATATGCAGTTTTTCTCTTTCAGGAAAACACATGTAAAATATTGAAGACTCATCCTGCACTACACAGATTTTCTCCAGATTTTCTCTAGAATGCAAAATGTCACATAATCCTTCAAAAATCATTCTAATATGCCGATTTGCTGCTCGAGAAACATTTCTTCTTATTGTCAATATTAAAAATAGTTGTTGTTTGATTTTTTTTTTTTTTTGTCAAAATTCTTTGATCAACAAAGTAGAAAAGAATATAAAAGATAAGCATTAATTTGAAAGAGAATTTTTGTTACATTGTAAATGTCTTTACTGTTACTTTTGATCAGTTGAATGCATCCGGAATAAAATTATTCATTTCTTAAAAAATAAATTCTTACTGACCCCAAACGTTTAAATGGTAGTATATATATATATATATTATATTACAAATCTATTATATTATAAGCACTACCTTAAAGCTTATTATTATTATTATTCATTAAAAACATGTATTAATATTATTATTAGTAGTAATAGTAGTATTTAATATACCATTCTCTAAACTGTATTATCTGTGTCTTATGATTTGTTATTCTTAACAGAATTTAGAAGTTTAAAAAGATTGTGTAGTATGTAGAGGTGGCTGACTATAACAAGTTGCAAATCATCATTTATGATTGTGACAACAAAAGCCTGTTAGCTACTTCAAAAACTTTAAACTTTCTATTTTAATAAGAAATATGTCGACACGGGAGAGAAAACTGCTTTTAGTGCTTCTATATTAGGTGCACAGTCACCCACAGAGTAGAACACAAAGACAAAGGACTTACATTAGCATTGAAAGCAAAATTTCACTGAACGGACCAACGTTTTTCAGTAGTCCTTCAGTGGTGTTTTATAGTACTACATGGTTCTCACGGGTCATTTTTATGGCAATTCTCCATGCAAACGACACCCGACACATAACCACAATTCTTAGGGAGGGGCGGGGATTAAGTGCCAAGATTAATTGGGAGCAATAAAAGATTAACATTTGTGGGCAAGTTCATTAAACCTTCAAAGGGTGCTAGCGGAGTTAAGTACTAGAAGAAGACGACAGCTGTCTGATGTAATAATATTTGATAAATTAGAGGTCAGTCCAACTATCTGCTGGAATCTCAGTGGCACCAACCCATGCTTTCTGCTGTCATTGACATGATGCTCAAATGTATAGAAATATTATTATAGAGTTAATCATGTTGAATATTAACACATTACGAAAGCACTAATTTGTATCATTATCAGTTTTCTAAATGAAGCGAGACTTAATGAAACGCTTTGATGAACTGCAATATTTTGATCACGGCGTGAGGGGAAACAGAGAAGCCTTCATCTTTATTGTGTTTTCCAATTATTTGCTTAATATAAATATTACTGCGGGGAATTACTGTCCCTTGGTTGGCTAACTTTTAATTAGATGTAAGATATTAACACAAATTGCTGAATAAACAGTATTCGACATAATATAAGTGGGTGAGCGTCTGCGCAACAAAGCTGATGGATGGATTTATACTCACTTGCACTGGTACTATTAAGCTGTAATGTGGGTATTCATGCATCCACATTGTAGATTTTGCAAATAATGTTTTAATTGTTAAATTATTACGCCCCCAGGCATCAACCCAATAATGTTGTTTCTCAAAATTTCTGATTGTAATATGTTTCAATGTTCCCCTCCAGGTCTCTGCAGGATTTGGCTAAGCAGACAGACTTGCCGTACGGCACGGTTCTGGACTCGGCCGTCTACGACCAGGTCCGCAGTAAAGGCATGAACCCTTTCGAGAGGGACCCGATGTACTCGCAGATGTGGAGGATGATCAACCGGACTGGAGGAGCCGAAAACAACGTGGAGGAATCGAAAGAAGGCATCCGGAAGGTAGGGTGCTCCGGGCGCTATGACTGCCGCCACCATTAATCTAATTACGGTGCTTAACTAAGCAACGGTTTGTGAAGATAGCGCTAATGTTCTCTGAATAGAGATATCAAAGCAAAAATGCACTAATGTGGCTTAATGGTGCTTGAGTTATGAGTGATTTAACTCTGAAAATTCCCCCACCGAATTCCCATACTAATTAGGTGCGGGTTAATGCCTTATTTGTTAACCCACGATTTTTTTATTCCTCTCTTCCAAGCGTGTTTTCATTTGGAATTTTAAACGAGCTTGAGCGCTGCAATTAAAAAGGCTGGTAGGCGAGTGAAGTATGAAGGCAGAGGGTCTGCGCCGCCTTCCGATCTTGTGAGAATACTAAAGAGTAAATGGCTGACTAGAGTGTTTTGTTAATGTGATATCATCTCACAGGTGTTCGGTTAAATATTGTATGACAAGGTGACACCTCTGTCTTGCCAGAAGCGTCACCCTCCTTTAGCCTCTCCTTCCTTTGCCTCTTCTGTCTCGCCTGCCTGTCTTCCTCTGTGGCATGTAGGCTTCAGAGCGCCCCCTTGTGACTGACTCCTGGAGTTTCTCTCAGTATTTATGACCATGACGTGATTTACATTTCAGCCATTTAACTGATGCTTTCACCTAAACTGATTGTATAAGACGTGCTTCTGCTTTTGTATTTTTGCAAGCAATTGTGCACCAAAATGTATAATCTTTAAATATTTTGATTATAAATTATTTTAACATTTTAGTTTAAAATGCTAATGTTAAACTGGCCTTATTTTTTAAATGTTCACTTTGGGTAATCCTTCAGTTGGCATCATAAAAGCCATATTAAAAGGAATAGTCAACCCAAATATGACAATTCTATCATTATTTACTCACCCTCATGTTGTTTGAGATCTGTATGACTGACTGTTTTTCTGTGGAACACAAAAGAAGATATTTTGAAGAATGTCAGTACCCAAACTGTTTTGGTTCCTATTGACTTCCATAGTATGAACAAAAATGCAATGTATGTCAGTAGGAATGAAATGGTTTGGTTGCCAGCATTCTTCAAAATATCTTCTATCGTCAGCCATACAGGTTTAGAATGACATGAGAGCAAGTACATGATAACAAAATCTTAATTTTTGGGGTGAACTATCTTTAAGCCTCCCACAGCATTTAAAATTGTGTATAACTCTGTAGAGGTGAAACAGTTATGTGTGTTGTTAAATGCAATATTGACTTTAAATGAATTCTATTCCCAGCTGAGACAATGTTGACTTTTTGGCACACTTTTTATATGCAGAAAACAGAATAAAAACAATGATCTTAAAATAAATCACGAACTGACTTTTGGCAAATAGTTGCACATTATGTACTCTATGACAATAAAGTGTTTAAAGAATACACAACAAATAACAAGTGGAGAAAAGTGAAACAGAATCCTTTCTGCCACTGTGACATTTTCTCTTCTCATTTATTAAATAAATAGCCTTGCAGACTCTTTGTAAGCACAGGCAAATGTTCTTCTTAGAATTTTCAGCCAAAAAGTAAGTTCTGTCACCATTTACTCATTGACTTTCTTCCATGGAACAACATCGGAGAATGTCTGAGCTTTTATATTGCATACAGTGAAAGTGAATGGAGGACAGGTACTGTCAAGCTTAAAAATTACCATAAAGTAGCCCATATAACTTACTTGAAGTCTTCTGAAACCATACTGTATCTTTTTGTTTTGGTCAACTAAACGTAATGTCTTAAAAAATATTGCTTAAAAATAAAAATAAAAAATGCTTTGAAAAAAAGCATTTTCATCATTCACTTTCATTATATAGAAAAGAGCAGCTTGGACATTCTTCTGTATATAAGACTTTTTGTGTTCTACAGGTAAAAAAAAATTTTGGTTTTGGAACAACATGACAGTCGGTAAATGATGGTGAATTTCATTTTTGGGTGAACTATCCCTTTAAAGAATCAAAGAACAGCCGCAGAATTCATTGTGTAACAGCAGGACTTGTCGCAGGTTGTGAGATCCATAATAAAGGAGTATCTGGTACACTGGACAAACATCTGCTCTGATTTCCCCAGCAAATATTTACCATGTTTATTCTCAATTGTATTCATCTCTTCTCTGAGCTAGTCATGTGCTAATGCTGAGAGACCCTGTTTGTCTCATTTTTCAATAATCGGAGCAGACTGGGAGTTTCATTTCACTGCTAAGGAAGATGCTTTCATAATTCATGAGCAGAGCATACAAGATTTCTATTTTTATGGCACATTTTCACCCACATTGCAAAACATTAATACTTTCACTCAATATGAATGTGTTTCATGAATTTTCATAGGTCTTATAAAGTGTAAAAAATTAGGTGTCTCTAGAACTGAAGTTGACAAAAGAAGGCAACAGTTAGTATGGCTTTTTTTCCTCTTTGAATTGAATTGATGTCCTTAAAGGGGTCATATGATGCGATTTAAATTTTTCCTTTCTCTTTGGAGTGTTACAAGCTCTTGATGCATAAAGAAGATCTGTAAAGTTGCAAAGACTAAAGTCTCAAATCCAAAGAGATATTCTTTATAAAAGTTAAGAGTCAACCACGCCTACCTAAAACGGCTTGTTCTAACACGCCCCCACATGTCTACGTCACGATTTTGGGAAGATTTAAACACATTTCATTACACCAAATACACAAAATAATGTTCTTTTTAGCAGCATCATATGACCCCTTTAATAATTATTTTAAATAAATGGCTAAACGTAGAATATCAAGTTGCCATGACTGTCATCTTGGTAAAAAAATTTTTTTTTTTTTTAAGTAACTATGGGAGATGGGGAAAAAAATACTTTTTATTACATATTGTACTGTTATTACATTAACCCTTTAAGCGCCAAAGTCGCAAAATTGCTAACTTAATCAAATAGACTGTAGTTCCTAATATGGATACTCCAGAAATAAAGTCTAACTGGTTAGTATTGTGTGAAGTTGGTGTTGCTGTTTGTGGAGAGGTCCTTTTTTTCTGAGGTCAAAGGTCTCATGTGGGGGCCCTGGAATATTTCCTTATGGGGGCCTTGGGGGCAAAAAAAAATTATATCTTCAAGAAATAGACTGTATTTTAATGTTGTTTTAACCCTTTCCCCAACTAAACTAAGAGACTAAGAGAGAGTTAAAGAACCTTTAAAGAACTATACAGGGGCTTACAGGTTTTATGGTAGTGGTGCTATATAGCACCTCATCAACTCCAAAGAACCGCTGAAGAACCATACAGGTGCTTAACAGGTTCTTTATACGGTAGTGGTGCTATATAGCACCTTAACCACTCCAAAGAACCGCTGAAGAACCTTTTTTTTTTAGAGTGCATGTGTCCCGCGTTGGTGCAGGATCCGCTTATTTGCACGCCTTTCACCACTTGGCTCGGTCCAGGGCATTGTCAGGGTTATATTAACTGTGCACAATGTTCTCCACCTGATGATCGAGCCACCGCTTCTTCGGCCATCGGTAGATGGTAGGCCATTTTCACCACTGTATCATCGCTACTTCTGATGGGAACGGAGTTGGGCTTTGCGCATCTTGTTGACTATGGGCGCCACACCCATGCGCCTTCAGACATCTTCGTTTGTAACGCGGTCGAGTTGCATGAGGCTTGAAGGACCAGTGAAGCATCTTCATCTCCATACCGTGGAGGGTCTGCACGTGCTTGGTGGTTGCTGGCCAGGACGCAGAACCCCACATTGCGACTGGGCATACAGCGGTTTTGTAGATCTTGCCCTTGAGTGCTATAAGCATTTGGTGGTCACAGAGAATGCCCGTAACTTGTCGCCATTTGAACCAACCCGTGTTGGCACAGGCATCGCAGACGGAGTCGCTGTCGCTCCTAAAGAGCGAACCGAGATATTTGAATTTGGTGATCTTGTTCAGTGGCTGCCTTCTAACTCTGATCGTCCCATCAGTCTGGGGCCCGCACTCCCATGTTCTCAGACTTCTTGATGTTGAGGCACAATCCGTGCATGTCCAGCCACTCGCTCCAGTCTTGCACTTGACGTTCAAGCCCACAATGGGTTTCGTCAGCTTGGAAGATATTATCGGCGAATAGAAGGGACCAGGGTTGAGATGCCTGAATATCCACCGTGTCAAAGGATAAACAGGAGCGGGGAGAGGACAGATCCCTGGTGTACGCTGCAGGTGATTTGGAATCGTTCGGACAGGCCAGTGGGGCGTCGGACAACTCTGGTGGTGTTGGTGTAGAGGAGTTGGTTCGGGGGGTGCTGTGAGAGTGGAGGGAATGCCAGATGAGGTCCAGGGGCAAGCGATCGAATGCCTTCTCAAGGTCAAGAAAGGTCATGTGTACCATTGGTTCTTTTCCTGGTGCCTCTCCAGCAGCATACTGATGGTGTGGATCGCATCAAATCCACACTGATTGGGACTGATGGAGACAATCTCCCAGAGACTGGCATCAGTTGCACGCTCAAATATCTTCATGGCGTGGCAGAGCAGGCGGATCGGACGATAAGTGTCGTATTCACAGACATTGCCTTTGCCTTTCCAGATTGGGACATAACGCTGGCAGCCCACACTGAGAGAGTGGCGCCCTCATCGATAATATTGTTGAACAGTCGAGGGAGAACTTTGGCAATCTACATCCGTGTAACTTACTTTGTTGTTGTTTTCTACAGAAGAAAAAAGGTCATATAGATTTGAAACGACCAGTGGGTAAGTCAGTGATGACGAAGTATTCACATTTGGGTGAAATCGTTTTTTTTTTTAAGCGAATTCTCATTATAGAGGGCAACTAATGAGTGACTTCGTTCGTTCTTCCCTCCCCAGATTCACACAACCACTATACAAAGAGCCGCTCTCCTCTCATTACACAAACACTTATTTATCATTTCATTCTCAGTTTGCTCATTAGCGTGTTGTCACACCAAACAGCACAAAACAAAATTCGGACGGTGATTGTTTAGAAAGCGTAATGATGAGATTTGAGTCATCACCAGCTGAGGCAATGTGAACCCA